AGATAAGGTTATGTACAACCACAGTTGCACTAATTCTAGTGGTTTTCAACCTTTTGTAAGTTCATGAGTTGCTTGAGACACTTACTAAGATGAAGATTCCCAGCCTCCACCCCTAGAGATTTTGATTTAATGGATCTGGGGTAAGATCCAAAAATCTGCATTTTTAACATACCGCATATAATTTTGTTGCAGATGTTCTGCAGTTCACATTTGAGAAAACTGATCAACTTGATGGGATATTTTACAGTCATTTAAAATGATGTTTGCAGAGAGATTATAATAACATGGAGGAATTCTTTATAACTAAAAAGGTATGAAAATTGTGTATATAACTGCATCCAATTATGAAATACAACTATATAGAGCAAAACAAAAATATACAAAAATATAAACACAGGTGGTCTCAGCATGGTAGAGTTATGGTGATTTTCTTATTTTTTCTGCATTTTCTATATTTTCCAAAATTTCTAAAAGCAAGCATTATTTTTATCATAAAAACTCATATGCCTGTAGTCCTAGCACTTTGGGAGGCTGAGGTGGGTGGATCACTTGACCCCAGGAATTTGAGACCAGCCTGGGCAACATGGTGAAACCCCATCTCTACAAAAAATGCAAAAATTAGCTGGGCGTGGTGGCTCATGCCTGTAGTCCCAGCTACTAGGGAGACTGAGGCAGAAGGCGGAAGTTGCAGTGAGCTGAGATTATGCCACTGTACTCCAGCCTGGGTGACAGAGTGACACCCTGTCTCAAAAACAAAAACAAACAAACAAAACACCCATAGGCTCATACTTTTAAGACAGACAGTATCCTCCTTGGAACAAATTCAAGGGCTTTCTCTTGTTCACCCTCTTTCCTGGGATTTATATGCTGGAAGGTTCCATTTTCTCTTTGAAGAGGCTGAAGGACCCTGAAGCAGAGTGAGGCTGGTCTCTTCACCTTCAGATGGGCTAAACCCCTTTTGGAAGTGCCTTCACACTCGGCTTTACCTATAGACATTTGATAAGCTTCTGGAGTTACTGAAGGCGCATTCAGCCCTGTTAGTGGTTGTTAAGATAAAAAGGATACTTAGCCTGGGATTGCACTTTATTTTGTAGAGCTGAACTATCTTAATGTCATTCTCTTGAGGATTTTTTTTTAAATATATATTACAATTTGTACAGGACAGTGAGGCCCTGTGTCAAGAAGTTGAAAATAAGGAAAACAAAGGTGTCTGCTGAGAGCTGTATGTATTAGTTTGCTAGGCCCATCATAACAAAGTTCCAAGCCTGGGTGGCTTAAAAAGCAGAAATTCTTCGTCTTCCAGTTCTGGAGGATAGAAGCCTGAGATCAAGGTGTTGGCAGGGTTGGTTCCTTCTGAGGGCTGTGAAGTAGGATCTGCTCCAAGTCTCCCTCCTTAGCTTGCGGATGGCCGTCTTCACCCTGTGTCTTCTCCTGGGCCTCCTTCTGTATGTGTTTGCATCCAAATTTCGTCTTCTATAAAGACAGCAGTCATACTGCAGTAGGGCCACCCCAATGACCTCATTTTAACTTAATTACCTCTTTAAAGACCCCATCTCCAAGGAAGGTCATATTCTGAGATACTAGGGCTTAGGACTTCAACATATGACTTTTTTGGGTGATTCCAGTCACCCTATAATGATGCATTGCTAAGCGACCGATAGCAGGACACAGAGCTGTGCAGACTCTTAAAGAGTTGGATTGGGTTCCCGACATGTCTGATTTAACTGTCAGATAGCTTGGAAAGTAAAAGTGAGAGGCAATGTGGGCTGTTTCCTTTGGGACCTGATCAGGGAGGGAAAGCTTGGGCCCAGAATTGCCATCTGGCTCATCCTGGGGAAAGGCAGGTACCCCTGTAGTAGAGACAAACTCATCAGCTTAACTTGCTTCTAACCAGATCCACTTGTGGCTCTCTGAATTTCAAGTCGTGACTGGGTCCAAGATCGGTAACCTGTGCAAGCCTCCCCTGGAGAAATAGGAATAAGAATTCCCTGCGAGACTGTCCTGCCAGTCCTGAAGGCTGCTGTAAGGCAAGATTGTGAAGACGCTCAGTAAATTGCCAAGCTCTTTCCGTCCCCAGCAAGCTGACAGTGCTCTGAACATCCTTGCTCACCTGCAGCAGCCGATCATGATGCTGTCTTTGAAGCCTACAGATTAAATTATACTTGGAGGAGTCTGGAACTTGAAACAGTATTCAAGGAGGAGAGGTGGCAAAGACTATTAGGTTGGTGCAAAAGTAATTGCAGTTTTGACATTAAGTGATGGTAAAAACCACAATTACTTTTGCACCAACCTAATAGTTGTAGCATATGTGGTGGTGATAGAAAACCTTCAGAAGGTCCATTGCCAAGGGCCTCCATACATTCTTTAAAAAGTAAAATGCCCGGGCATGGTGGCTCATGCCTGTAATCCCAGCACTTTGGGAGGCTGAGGTGGGCTGATCACCTGAGGTCAGGAGTTGGAGACCAGCCTGGGCCACATGGTGAAACCCCATCTCTATTAAAAATACAAAAATTAGCTGGGCATGGTGGTGCACACCTGTGGTTCCAGCTACTTGGGAGGCTGAGGCAGGAGAATCTCTTGAACCCAGGAGGCAGAGGTTGTGGTGAACCGAGATTGCGCCACTGTACTCCAGCCTGGGCTACAGAGTGAGACTCCAACTCAAACAAACAAACAAACCCCATCTTTATTTTGAAATTGACATATGCTTCATATATGAAAATTTATAAGTTTGATATAGAAGAATAAAAAGTAAAAGTTCCCGTTCTCTAGCCCTCTACCTCTTTTCCATCACCAAAAGCCCCTCCCCTCAGTGAATGACCTGTTCCGGATGTTCCTATGCGTAGACAAAACATATATGTAAATACTTAAAAAACCAACATGCTCATGATTTAGTTCATACAGTTTGAAAATTTGTGTTTCTAACTTAATGAATGACTGTGGGCTTCTTTTCATGGCAGTTCATGCACAGGGATTTTCATGTTACTTTTTTAAACTGTTGCATAGTCTATACCACATTATAGATACACCATGTACCATTTAACTCATTGGTGGACATTTTGGTTGTTTCCAGTTTTAAAAAATGTGACAAAACTGATTATAAATGAATATCTTTGCTCATGTATCTTTGAACCCTTGTGTGAATGGCTCTCTGTAGGATACATTTCTAGGCATGAAATAACCTAAGGTGATATTTATGTATTTAAAATTTTGATAGATTTTATAAGTTGCTCTAAAAAAGAAAGCTATCAATCTACACTCTCTTCAAAAGTTTATGAGAATTCCTGTTTCCTCCCATCCCTGCCAAGAATGAGCACTATGCCATTGGGCCCTGAATTTGTTAAGATGTCGAGGCTGAATATTATTTTGAGAGTGTGTTCTTTCAATATGTTTCCAGAGATACTTAAAATCATGATCATAAGGCCTTTTGGAAAATAGCATTTGGATCCAAGATCACAGGAAATTGTCAACAGATTTTCCAAGGAACCCACTAAGCTCTGGGAGCGTATTCAAGGGGGCCTAGGATTTTCTACCTGAACCCAGACGTTGCACCAACTCATAGAGAAGCTACACATCTGTCTTTCTTTTCATGTGAGAGGGGGAAAAAATAAACAAAGACAGATTTGAACATGTAATCACACCCGGTGCCCTTGAAGCAGTTCTCTAGTTATCTATCTAATCTATCTATCTATCTATCTATCTATCTATCTATCTATCTATCTATCTATCTATCTATCTATCTATCTAGTTATCTCCTGGGCCTCATCAGTTTTCCTGATTCTCTGAATGCCCTGTAAATAGTGCTTATATGGGGTGCCTGTATGAAATGTTTAGAGACAATCAACTCCTTATCCAGTGGTGGGCGGTGGCGGGGCTGTGGAAGTAGCTGGCCTTGCCTAACTTTGCTTACCCCTCAATCTCATGGAACACAGCAGACGCTGGCTGCTGCCTAGTCCAGTGGGCAGACCAAGGGCCTCATTAGGGCAGCAGCAAAGCAGAGGTTCCAGAGCTATGAGAAAATGCACCTTTGATAAAATGATCCAGGATTTTGTGTTGAGAAATATCCAGAAGGAGCCATTTTAACTGCAGCATACATGTAAGTTTTTCATTTTATGAGTCTGTTATGTTTTTCTCTTGAATCACATTGCAGACAATGCTATATCTTTAGAGCTGAGGACTTCTAAAGGTCTGCCAGTATCCCCTCCTGCCTCCTCCACCCGCAATCATGACAGGTTAAGTGTTTTCTGAGGTGCTGGAATTTTCCAGTCCTTCATGGAGGCCCTGTCTGCTGGGATTCTAGAGATGGGGCTTCGTTTCCGTGTTCAGAAGACCTGCATTACAGGGTGGGGATGGAGATTTCATCAGAAAGCATGTGAAGGCGCCAGCAGTGTTGGTGCTCAGCAAGGTTAATTTCCTACCCACTACAAGCTCACCCCATCTGAATCACAGGATTAGCAAAACAGGACTCTAAAGACTTTAAGAAGTGCTTTGTTGCTTTATATACAAAGTTCTAGAGAAAGAAGAGACAGGAATGAAACTGGAATTTCACCATCTTCTTCTTGGGCTGTAGCACATATCTGTGCCTGCAGTAAATGTAAATATGTATATCTATACATACATATATATAACTATAACTAGTTTTTCCTTGAGTTGAGTTGAAGTGAATTGAATCATGTTTGTATTCACCCTATGGAAGGTCAAATGTGTAATTCATGATAGGACAAAAGGTAAAAGCTTCACTCCTTTCTAGAGCTTCTTAATATCTGCCATTTTCGTTACCTGTGGAAGAATTCCAGTCCATGTTAGAGGTAGGGAAGTAAACATTTGCATTTCTACAATGTACTAAGCCCAGTGCCTCATTTTACCTTCCCAACAGCACTAGGAATATTGTTTTGCAACTCAAGAATCAGAGAGTTATAACCATTTCTTCCTGAGGTCACAGGTGACAAGGGGTGGGGTCACGATTCAAACCCAGGCCGGCCTGATGGCACACCTTGCTCTGGTCCCACTCACCGCCTCCACGGCATAAGCTTCCTGGAGTCGGTCATTTCAGAAAGGAACGCCAGCTCATTATTGAGTTCCAGATCTGAGTATAAACAGTAACCCCTGGTCCTGCCCCTTGAAGGCTAGCTTGGGGCTCTGTCCAGCCACCAAGTGTCAGGTGTCTCAGGAACGCCAGTCATTCCTGTGGGATAAAGTCATGTCATCCAGGGCACAGAGCAGGCAGGCATGGAAGAACAGAGGGACAAAGCGTCCTCTGCCACGGTAATGGGTGACATGTTTCTCAGACTCCTCCATGGCTCAGGCTTTCCTGCATGTCCTTCCCAAGACCCTTCTGTGGCTTCTTCCTTGGGAGAGGCCCATGCCCTTCGTTAAGTCCCCAGCTTACAGCAGTTGCTGCAGAGCCCATCCATTCAGGTATTTGGTCGTTCATTCATCCAGTGACTATTCATGGAGGTGCTACCCTGACCCCATCACCCTAGGTGCAGAGGACAGAGCAGGAATCACGGGAGACCCACGGGAGACCTCGTCCTTGCTCTCCAGGAGCCTATGCATGGTGGAGAGAGAAAGTCAGCAGTCACAGAGGTAATAATGCATTGACCACAGTCTTCTCAGCATAACCATGGAGGAGGTGCTGCAGATATCTAGAAGAAACGTGCACACTGAGGTCTACAGGGGGAGCTGAAGTTGTCTAGGGAAAGAAGTGGGGAAGAGTATTTATTTAATAAACCCAGCAGCCACTGTTTTAATGCTTTACACATACTAACTCATTTAATCCTTCTAACAACTCTATGACCGGGTACTATTAGAAACCTCATTTTACATTTGAGGGGTGAAATGACCTGTCCATGATCACCCTGCTAGGCACAGTCTTAGCCAGGATCCAAACACATGAGCCTATGGACAGTATTTAAAGCAGGGAGGGGAAGGGATCACCCCTGCGTGAATGCAGGCAGAGAAAAGAAGAGGCCCTAGGCTGCAGCCGGGGCGAGCTCCTGTGCTAAGGGGGACTGAGTCCAGGAGATTGAAAACAGGCATTAGAGGGGTAGAGGTCAACAGAAGAAAGTATTTCTAGAAGGAGGGAGCAAGCAGTTGGCCAAATGCTTTGGACTGATGGGGGAGGATGAGGACTGACTGAGGATTGACTGGTGGTATCATTGTGATGCTTGACAAGAGCCATTTTAGCGGGGGTCATGGGGTGCAAAGCCCAATTTTCAAGGGTTCAAGAAAAGATAGGCGGAGAGGAGGTAGTGACTGTGATAATAATTCTTTTGAGGAATTTGACTCTAAAAGAAAGAAGCTAAGTAGGGCAATAGCCGAAGGGTGATCTAGTTCCAAGGGATTTCTTTTTTAAGAGGGAGGTAGTAAAACATGTTTTGCACCAGGAGGAATGCCTCAGCAGAGGAGAAGCCAATCAGGTAGAGAGAGCACCCAGCACAGAGTGAGGGCCTTGGGCTACACCAGGGGCTGGAATCCAAGGTCGAATGAGGGTGGCCTTAGACAGGTGCGTGGCCGCAGGGGCATGGCAGATGGGCTGACAACAGATGGGCATGGTTGTATGCAGCCGCCTGGGCATGGGCATGGTTGTGTACCGGCTTTCAGTGGCAGGTCCCTGACCAACATCTCCTCCAGAGCCTGCTGGTTTGATTTTCCCCTTGTCCTCTCTGACATCTTAGCAGAGCCACAAAGAGAGGGAGGCAACCTTCTTCTCTGGATGCTGCAAGAGCTAGAGGGCATCCCTAGGCATTCTGTCCCCCCAGGTGTCACCACCCTTTGCCAATTGGTGCAGGCTGAGAGGAGGGGCGCTGACGGTGGGGTTCAGCCTCGGCTGTGTTCCTGGTGAAGCTGTGAACTGAGTGCAAGGAGAGAGCTGCATCCACTGAGAGTCGTTTTCTTAAAGGCTTGTTTGGCACTTGCTCTTCAGGAGCCCTGGGGATTTGAGGACACAGGTCAAGGGATTCCTGCTGTCATGTGACAGACATAGTATCCACCCACTCAACACACAAAATGGCTATGAACCCCATTCCAGCAAGTTTATGTAAACTTACCTCACAGAATTTCTTTCTTCTTTTTAAAATTATTTTTATTTTTATTTGTTATTTTTTTGAGATATAGTTTCGCACTGTTGCCTGGGCTGGAGTTCAGTGGTGCGATCTCAGCTCACTGCAACCTCTGCCTCCCGGGTTCAAGTGATTCTCCTGCCTCAGCCTCCCAAGTTGCTGGGATTACAGGCACCTGCCACCATGACTGGCTAATTTTTTGTATTTTTAGTAGAGATGGGGTTTTGCTATGTTGGTCAGGCTGGTCTTGAACACCTGACCTCGTGATCCACCCGCCTCAGCTTCCCAAAGTGCTGGGATTACAGGCGTGAGCCACCATGCCGGCCCTTCTTTTTCTTTTTTAGATACAGGTTCTTGCCCTGTGGCCCAGGCCGGAGTGCAGTGGCGTGATCATATCTCACTGCAGCCTCGAAGTACTGGGCTCAAACAATCCTCCTGCCTCAGCCTCCGGTGTAGCTGGGAGCACCACCACACCCAGATCATTTTAAATTTTTTTTGTAGAGACGGGGGTCTTGTGGTGTTGCCCAGGCTCCTCACATAATTTCTGATGCACAAAATTGGCCAATTAGGGCCTTGGGGGTGATTTATACTTTTTCAAGGTTTGAATCTAAGAAATTCACAGCCTGAAGTAGTCACCTATTCCTCCCTGGCTCTCCAAAGCGCACCTCTTCAGCCTAGCTGTGTTTCGCAGATAAACACACAAACAAAAAGGGGGAGAACGAAACTGGGAGAGCTCTGAACACAAAATCAGGGATTTCCCATTGGGGAAAAATTCCTCTGGTTAAAAAAAAGGATTTGGGTAAATGAGGCAGACACACCAGAGGTATAAGACAGCTAGCATCCCACAGTCCTGGTTTACTTCATCAACCACTTTCTCTTGAAAATAAAGTGTAAAAAAATAATACGTAGGTATGTATCCCCTACTCTCCCCACCAAAGAGAAATTCTGTCTGTCAATTTCTCTTTTCCCCCAGTGTATTGTAGGCTGTATTGTAAATTGTTTTCCTACAAAGTAATAAAATGTAAATGTGAGTTTTAGATATGCTAATGTTTTGGGTTGTCCAAGCGTGAATTCCCAACCAGTTATGGGTTGAGGAAGCTGTGAGAACCAAGAGGGTGATGAGAAGGCAAGACAAAAGATCCCCATTGTTGTAGCTGAAGAAGGCTAGGATTTAGGAAACCTGGGATCTGATGTGAGCTGGAGGCCTTCAGGGGACACCAGAGGCAGGTAGGCTTAAAAAACCTTGAAAGCAGAAAGCGTCAGGAACATTTCTCCACCGCAGAGTAGAAGAGGAGGAAGGGTTTTGCTGGCAGGGGCTCAGCTCCTCACCTCTGGAAGACTGAGCAGACCCCTACTGCAGACCCTTGCAGAAAGAGGGCTGCACAGGGCAATGGCGAAAGGCCATGGTGCCCCATGGAATGCTATCGAACAGCTACCCCAGCAGAACTCTGAGAGGCCTTCCAGGAGTTCATTTTCTGTCAAACCCTTCTTCCAATTTATCATGGTAATCAGAGGTAGGATTTACATCAGGTGAATCAGGTGAGGATTCGCAAACAGAAATCTGTTAAAACCAAATTGATTTTGTGAAACAGGGAGTACCTGAAGCTCTGGGGGATTCATCTCAAAAGACTTCACAAAACAATGTGACTTTGGATTTCATATGTTTGGACAAAAAATCCAGCTTTTGTTGCACTTTGAAGGAAGGCTGGGTCTGGCAGGGATTCCAGGGCAGCTGGGGAGATGCGTGACAAAGGGACAAATGAAAGGCGAGGGGTATGTGAGAATGCTGGGGAACCTGCTTAGGGGACTAGACAGTAATGAAGACCGATTATGTGGGAGAGAGGGTAAAACCCAGGATTAGCAAGGAAGAGCTCAATAATAGCCAAGAGCTTCTGCAAGCTTCGGGAGGGTGATTTGGTTCAAAGAAACCTTAAGAGGTAGAAAGGCATGAGCGAGGGGGGGACCCTCTGAATGGGGAAGAGGGAAGACCGTGCTGAAATTAACCAGGGGAAGACCGTGCTGAAATTAACCAGGCAGCAAAGCAGGGGAGAAGCCCAAGGGGTGCATCTGTAGCAGTTGCTGGTCCCTGAGGGCCTGCTGTGTGCTGCCACACTGGACTTCCCTGTATCCCCAGAACCTAGTGTGGTTCCTGCGTATAGTTGACACTCATTAATTATTTGTTGAATGAATGGATGGGTGGAGAAATAACAAGTAAAGTGTCATTGAGGCTGCTGCGAAAAATAGTGTTGCAGTTCCTCAGACAATTAAACATGGAATTACTAGATGATCTCCTAGGTACATACCCCAAATAATTGACACAGGGACTTGAACTGGTATTTATACAGCCATGTTCCTAGAAGCACTATTCACAATAGGCAAAAGGTGGAAGAAACTCAAGTTTCCAACTATGGATGAATGGATAAGCAGATTAGAATATTTTCAGCCTTAAAAAGGAAGAACATTGACACATGCTACAACATGGATGAACCTTGAAAACATTATGTTAAAGTGAAATAAGCCAGTCACAAAAGAACAAATATTATATGATTCCACTTACACGAAGTAACTAGAGCAGTAAAATTCATAGACACAGAAAGTAGATTAGAAGTAACTGGGGGAAGGAGGTAGGAAGGAACAGGGAATTGTTGGTTAATAGATTTAGAACTTCAATTGGGGAAGATGGAAAAGTTCTGAAAATAGAAAGTGGTGATGGTTGCACACAGTGTAAATGTCCTTAATGCCTTTGAACTGTACATTTAAAACGGGTAAGTGATACTTTATTGGAGGTGGGGGGGCGGAGTCTTGCTCTGTCACCTAGGCTGGAGTGCAGTGGTGCAGTCTTAGCTCACTGCAACTTCCGCCTCCTGGGTTCAAGTGATTCTCCTGCCTCAGCCTCCCAAGTAGCTGGGATTACAGGTGCCCGCAACGATGCTGGCTAATTTTTGTATTTTTAGTAGAGACGGCATTTCACCATGTTGGCCAGGCTGGTCTTGAACTCACGACCTCGTGACCTGCCTGCCTCGGCCTCCCAAAGTGCTGGGATTACAGGTGTGAGCCACTGCGCCTGGCCACATTTTATGTTATATAAATTTATCACAAAAAAGAGGTAAAATTATCTCTCGAATATAGCAAAAAAAAAAAAAAAAAAAATTGACCATGCAGAACATGCTAAAACCTTTCTTAAGACCCACATAAACTTTCATTCATGTAATCCTCACAATGATCTTATGACTCAAGTGCTATCATTTTCTCAGTGAGCGCCAGGCCTTGTGCAAGGTGTATTACACAGATGGCTTCTTATGGGGAAAACCCTTCACAGTGGGTTACTATGTTCATTTTGTGGATGTGAAGTAGAGCCTTCTAGGTAGACAGAGACATACAAGCCAATGAGGTGCCCGAGTAGGCTGAAATTCAGGCTTGGCTGAACCCAGAAGCTACATGGTTTCTGTACACTATGCTATTTCTTCCAGCACCAAGTCAGCCAAGATTAGAACAGAGGCATAGAGAGGTCAGCAGTGTTCATGTAGGATGCATGTATTAAGCACTGACTGTGTACTCAGCTCTTTACTTGTCACTAAGAAGATCAGAGAAGTAGAAAACGCTATTCTTGCCCTCATAGGCTTGTCTAAGGTACATGGGGCTCTGCAGCAGGTATTGGTATAAAACTATCTTTGGTTGCGTCACATTGGCTCCAGGGCTGTAGGATCCAAAGGGAGAGAGTTAGGGTGGAAGAGAATCTGGAAGATCTCTGGAGTCAGGGCTTCCTAGGAAGGAGTCATTGAGTCCATTCTATGTTCTAGGTGACAGAAAAATCTAGTTGTGTAAATAGGAATAATACTAACACAAACTCACAATTCCCTATCTGTAAGCCTGAAACCCAAAGATCCCAGGGACAAAAAGGTTTTTTTTTTTACTTTTGCTGTTGTTGTTTGTTTCTTGTTTTTGTCAATCTGGTGCCAACTCTCATTTGGCAGCAAAATCTGATCTGAACTGGAGAGGCTATTTGCAGTCCGAAGTCCCTCCAAGTGAAAGTTGACATGGTCACTGCAGCATCATGAATGTGTCTGATTGTGAGGCCCTGCCTTGGCACCCACTGGGGGACATACACTAAAGACAGCCTAGGCACCATATTACCTCCTAAAATAAGGAAAAATGCCGGCTTCTGGCCCCAGGGATTTTGGATGAAGGATTGTTAACTTATATTCATCGCATGATAGACTATGTGAAGCAGGCATTTTACTAAGTGCTTTACTCCCATTACCTCATTTAGTCCTTACAATAACCCTATGAGGTAGGTCCTGTTATTATCATTCTTGTTTTACAGGTGAGAAAACTGAGACCAGAGTAGGAAAATAACTTGCCGAACGAAGGCTACAAACTTGTAAGTGATGGGGCCTGAACTTAAGGTCTTTCTGTTTGGGCAATAGCATTTCAGTGATATCCTTGGTTGGAATAGTTTTAGAATCAAGGTAAAGATGGAAGTCAGACCATGAAGGCCCCAGGAGGAAGGAGCCAGAGGGGAAATGGGACCTGAGGGGTGGGTTCCCCATCTGGCTGTTGACAGGGAGGGGAGGGCAGATGAAGGTCAGAGGCGACATCTCAGATCAGGTGGGCCTGGCTGGGCAGCCAGGGTGGGGGCTACAGAGGGGTTGGGCCTCTCAGGAGAGCTGGGGTTCCCGGTGATAGAGGCTGCAATTTGGACATCACAGAGCTCCAGAGAGCCTGAGTCCCCAACCCTGGCCTTTAACTTGTCACCTTCTCTCAGACGTAAATGGCCACCCTCAGGCCTACAGCCATTCCCCTTTTTGTTGAAAGAGGAAGCAGTCAGAAGGCACCCTTCACCCACTCTATGTGGTCTGAAGAAGAGGAACCTGGATCTGATTTGGATTTTTTGAAGAAATCTTGCTTTGATGTGGTCTCATCCAACTTCTTCATTTGCTGGTCTGAGTGGGACGATGGGTGCTGTACCTCTGTGGGGACCAACCAAGGGGATTCTCTCAGCCAGGGATCTCCCCCATGAGGGAGGAGTTTCCCAGCCCTGGTACCTGTGACTCCTTGGGTACCTCCAATGATCTCCAGGCTATTGGAGCCTTCTCAAGACAAAATTTAAATATTGAAATAAATATTCTATGGAAATAAACCTGTGGGAAAAAAGAAGCATATGCCAATCAGATTTTTTTGTTTTTGTTTTTGTTTTTTGGAGAGGGGAGGATAAAAGAGAGTTATAACCCTTTAAAAAGATATCAGTATTCTAAAAGCATAGGCAATCAGGCCGTGAGTGGGGGAAGCCCTGGATTTTAGTTTTGACTCCCTTATCCCTTCACTGTATGACTCTGGGCATGAATAGATTTTGTAAATTATAAAGCATGACAGCAAGAGGATCAATGCTGCATGATCATCACCCTAGAGCAGAAAATCCTACCATGTTACCTGTTTTGATCTGCTTTCCTGAATGAGCAGGGATCTGACATACATTATCAGGGCTACTCATATCCATACTTCCCCTCTCTATGCCTCAATTTCCATAGTAGTCAGGCTAAGCCAGGCCATGCTGCAGTGACAAATAAGCCCCCAGTTTTCAGTGGCTTCACAGAATGAAGCTTTGTATTTCCTGCTCTGATGAGGATGGGCAGATCCTCCTCCATCTTGTAAGTGTGCCATCTAGGGTACAAGGACTGTCTGGTCACAGTGGCAGGGGATAAGAGGGATGGAGGAGGCACACCCTGTCTTCAGTGTTTGGGCCTGGAGATGACATGTGTCATTGGCTATAATTAATCACCTAACTGCAAGGAAGGCTGGAAAATTCAGGGAAGCACATGGATATTCAGTGGGCACAAATGGACTCTGCAACAGTTTCCACATCTCTCAAATGCGAGGGTTGGACTAGAGGACCTTGGAACAGGCACCCCCCAGCTCTGGCCTTCTAAGATTGTCTGAGCCAGAGACCCAGAAATTGATGACTCACAGCAGTGACAGTGCCCTGCTTCCACAGGAAAAGCTGTACCCCTCACCACAAATATCAATTTTACTTTCTTCATTCTTTCCCAGACCATCTCTGAGCTATTTGTTCTGTACTGCCCCTTCATCAACTCCCAACTCCCAGATACTTCCAAGGTAAAATGGCCTCCAGTGACCCTAGACCAGTGTAAATGTTTGCTCTCTGAAAGAGATGGGTCTTGCCTTGAAGGGACACTAATGAAGAGCTGAAAGCTGGTAGGCTGAGACCACCTAGAACCACTTGGCCCTGGAATCCCCCTTCCCTTCTACCATCTCTAGAGGAACTCAGGAATAATTCTAATGACTGCCTCCATTTGCTTTCTCCTGTTTCCCTCTTGATGTGTATACTTCCTAATCCTTTCCCAGTTTGGTGAGATCCACATTGATCACTGGAAATATATCTGTCGAGATGATTAATGATGCATATTTGAGGCCAGGCGTGGTGGCTCATGCCTGTAATCCCAGCACTTTGGGAGGCTGAGGTGGGCAAATCACCTGAGGTCAGGAGTTTGAGACCAGTCTGACCAACATGGAGAAACCCCTTCTCTAAGAAAAATACAAAATTAGCTGGGCGTGGTCGTGCATGCCTGTAATCCCAGCTACTTGGGAGGCTGGGGCAGGAGAATCACTTGAACATGGGAGGCGGAGGTTGCTATGAGCCAAGATCGCGCCGTTGCGCTCCAGCCTGGGCAACAAGCATGAAACTCAGAAAAAAACAAAACAAACAAACGAACAAAAAAATCTGCACATTTGAAAGGCAATGACTGAATTGTTGGATCAGGAATATGTTATATAGTATTTCTTAATATCAGCATGGGCATTTGACAAGGTCTCATGTGATCACAGGAGGAGGGATTGAAGGTGCTCAGCTAACCTGTGTGATGGCATCATGTCACACACTGCTGGTCTGACATCCTGAATGCTCCAGTTGTGATAATAGGGGTTCTGCCTTTTTCAGGAGACCGAGTATCCACTTTGAGGCTTCATTCTGTTAGACAATCCTTATCGTGGTAGTCTGGCCTATACCCCAGCCTCTCTGCAGGAATGTCAGAGGCCTCTCAGCACTGCTTATTCTTGATGACTTATCACCATTGAGTAGCCTGTCAGGTAGTGCCTATGCCCTGACTCAAAGGGACTCCCAAGTCATTCTGCATCTGGGTGTAGGCTTCCAGTGCTGCTGTGGCTGTTACAGAATTGTTAGACATTCCTCCCATCCAGCAGTGGGACCTATGCTCCTCCTCTTGAATCAGGACAGTCTTGTGACTGCTTTGATCAGTAGGGTATGGAGAAAGTAATGTTTTTTGACTTCTGAAGCCTGGCCATAAAAGACCCCACAGCTTCTGTCTGGTTCTCCTGGAATACTCACTCTTGTGACCCAGCTGCCATGCTTTGAGAAACTCAAGCCATGTGGAGAGGACACATGTCATTCAACACGTGACAGTCCCCGCTCAGCTCAGTCTTTGAGTCCTTCCAATGTAGGTACCAGACATGGAATGAAGAAGCCTCTAGATAATTCCAGCCCCTAACCACTCAGTTCATTCTCTCACCCCTGTTGTCTACTTTTCCCAGCAGAAGCCCTGAACATGAACCAACGAAGAGGCATCCCAGCTGTGCTCTGTCCAGATTCTTGACTCAGGAATCCGTGAGCAGAAGAAAATGGTTGGCATTTTTCATCAGCATGTCTGAAGTCATTTGTTCCATAGTAATCAATAACTAGAAAACCATCTAATCCTTCCGCCATTAGCATGAAGATGGGTGGATCGATGTCGACCTCTAGAAGAGAAGTCTCTAGTAGTGGGCTGCAGGCTCATTCCTATCCAACCTCTTTAATGACAATTTATAGGGAGCAACAACCACACCAAGAAAGACAACAGGATTATTGGGAAAGTGTGGGTGTCATAAATTGAGATAAATAGGCAGGACACTGGGGGATGGATAGGAATCCTGAAAGATCTCAACCAGTTCAGAGGAATGTAATCCTTGCACTTAGCCTTTGAAATTCACATGGAAATGTGCTAGGTGAAGTAGGGGTTAGCTGGGGAAAGGAAGGGGTTGATCCCCAGGCAAGAGGACACAAGGTGGGTGAGACAGAGCTTGGAGGCACTGAAGGTAGGGCACAGAGGGATTATCCAGAGGCACTGAAGGTAGGGCACAAGGATGACTTGAGATGGGCTGGTCAGTGGACAGGAACCTGTCAAACAGGGTCTCAAGGGCCAGGCTAGGAAAGCTGGTAAAAGGTGCTGGGACCCTGGGTCCTTTTACCCTGCGTCCTAGCCCTCCAGAGCTCAGGAGCCGAATGGATCTGGCTGTTTAACACCTTGGTTCACCAATTCTTTTGGAAGATCCTAAAATGAGATAGAAGTAGTTAAGCCAAGACAGCTTTGAAACATACAACTGGAATACCAGGAATACCAGGACCAGAGTGGCTGAGTTTCCCAGAAGTTCATTCTGTTCAGGTTCCAACAGGGCCTCCTCCACCATCCAGTCCACCTACAGTGCTGGGCATGCAGCATGCCAGGCGGCCCCACAGAAACACCTTGCACTGGGGTCCTCCTGACTGCTGTGAACAGTGACCCCAGCAGTGCTCATGGTTAATATTGTTGTAGCTCCCCATAACAAGACTACTGGGGTGGGAAGATCCCAGATGGATGTGACTTCCTGGGGCTACCATGTCTGAGCCTGGTGGGATATGAGCACTGTGGAAACCTCTTTTTATGCGGGGTCTGGCCTGGGGTGCAGGATCTGCGAAGCGAGAGGACCCTGCCGGCACCCGGCCTCTGAGTGGCTCAGTGGGAGGAGGGGCGTCCTGGGTGCTGGGGGTGCCTGGTGCAGGCCCCCACTTGGCCTTCTCAGTCCCTCTCAGAGTTTGCCAGGAAGTGACACCATAGTAGACTCAATCCTTCTTCAGGCCTCAATCCCGGGGCTTCAGAAATAGCTAGAAATTGGCTGGGTAAGCAGGCGGTGGCTTATATGGAAAAAGAGGCCCCTTGGCAGCTGCCCCCTGTGTTTGTGGGGCTGTGTCCTGCCTCCGTCCCTAATAAGTATGATCTGCATTAGCACTTTCACCTCTTACAGTCTCAGTTTCCTTGTCTACAAAATGAGAATAGTGCCTATTTCAAGAGATGACTGTGAGGATTGGATGAAGGTGATTCTATTAAAAGGGTGTCTGGCATAAGTGGTTGCTGAGTGGCCACAGTCATTTCTCTCCTACCTGTCCTGTGGACTCCACCACCTGAGCGTTCATGACAGGCATGCGCCCTCCCCTCTGTGCAGGGGAGCTATGCACAGAGCCTTAAAGAACCTCCCAGGGTGGCAGTCACAGGTGAGGGAGGGCATCAGGCGCCAGTGGAGCTGGAAGGCTCAGCCTCGGTGTGGTCATCTCCCTCCTAAATTTCAAGGGACAGAAAAGGTCCTCCTGCTCTTTGCTTGGTGTCTCCCAAATCACCTTTCCTTCCTGACACTGGAAAACCAAATCCACAAGCACAGGTGACAGCTGCAGAGGGCCCCTCTTTCCATGTAAGCCACTGCCGGCTTAGCCAGCCAATTGCTAGCTATTTCTGCAGCCCTGGATGGAGGCCTGGAGGAGGATGAAGTCTGGCTATGGGGTTACCTCTTGACCCTAAACCCATGCTCACAATCACCACACAGGCTGCCTTTCAAAAGTTTATTTTCAGGGGAGTCACAGAACAGCAGGTGGAGACCCCTAGGAAGAGGAAGCAGCTGGGGTGGGCTCCAGAGGCGTGTGGGTCAGGGAATAACCTCAGAGGAGAATGAGCTGCAGAGTGGTGGCCTGGCAGAGGCACCCCTGTACCCCTCACCTTCCCTCCTCCCCCACTCTTGTTCCCTGCATCATGAACACCATTCCACCGGCTCTCAGGGCCCACCCGGCTGACCACATGCTCGCCACTTGGCTTCCAGGCTGGTCAGGGCTGGAGGAGGGTAGGAACCCTGAGACACTTGGTCCTGGGAGGTTGGGGGCTGGGGCATGGGAAGGGACAGAGCCAGGCTGTGACAGAGGACGGAGGGCTTGAGTGACTGAGGGAACAGGTTAGGTGGGGCAGCCCTGAGGACTGTCCCCCTGAGGAGAGGGGTTCTGCGCAGCAACCTCGCTGTCCAGGGCCCAGCAGTGAGGGAGGCGTGGCCTGAAGCTTGGATTCTGGCTTCGGAGGGCTTGTCGGGCTTGCTTGCTGAGGCCCAGGGCCTCTCTGGGAATGAAGGAATGCCTCCTGCTCTGGAACACTGAGGCCTGACAATTTTCCCTCTCAGCAACATTTACTTCTCTGTAAAACAGATTGTTATAAGCTCCTCGGGAAGTTTGTTGGATTTGGTGCCTGAGTTCACAATCTCCTGGGGTGGACAGAGGGTTTGGTAGAAGAATTAGGTGTGAAGATGGATGGGAGAGCAATGTGGAAGCTGGCTGGGAAGAGCCTGAGGTATTCCGGTCAGGGTTCTCTGTCTCTCTGTCTGTGTGTGTGTGTGTGTGTGTGTGTGTGTGCACGCGCGCGCGTGTGTGTGTGTCTGTCTGTCTCTGTGTGTGTGTGTGTGTGTGTGTGTGTGTGTGTCGCTCTCTGTTGGGGTGGGAGAGATCTCTAGCTCTTAGGATCATCATTGCCTGTCATGGCCTAACCCTATTCCCTACTCTATTTTTGCTAACATAATTACTGTTTCCTTTGTATGATTTTTTTTTTTTTTTTTTTTACTTCAGTCCAATTCCAGGCCTCCTTGTTTAAAACAAAACAAAACAGTGCTCTCTTTGGCAGCACATGTACTAAAATTGGAACAATACAGAGAAGATTAGCATGGCCCCTGAGCAAAGAAGACACACAAATTTGTGAAGCATTACATATTTTTTAAAATAAAAAAGTAAAAAAACAAAACAAAGCTTTCAAACTTAACATTTCTGTGACGTTTTCCTGAATCAGTGTAAACAGCCATGGCATTGGGTGCTGCCTGATGGTGAAGCTCTTCAGGCCTTGGAGACTGTTCTGCAGGTGTCTCTGGGACATTCTTTTTTTTTTTTTTTTTTTGAGTTGGAGTCTCACTGTGTTGCCCAGGATGAAGTGCAATGGTGTAATCTCAGCTCACTGGAACCTCTGCCTCCTGGGTTCAAGTAATTCTCCTGCTTTAGCCTCCAGGGTAGCTGAGAATACAGGCATGCACCACCACGCCTGGCTAAGTTTTGTATTTTTAGTAGAGACAGGATTTCACCATGTTGGCCAGGTTGATCTCGAACTCCTGATCTCAAGTGATCTGCCTGCCTTGGCCTCCCAAAGTGCTGGGATTACAGGCATGAGCCACCATACCTGGCCATCTCTGGGACATCCTTGAGTATCCCACATCTGTCTGCTACTGTTTGGGCCTGTCATTCTTTGGTCAGTAGATATGGCAATGTGTCATCCAATAACTGATCCCTTACCAACTTTTTGGTTTTTTTCTGAAATGGAGTTTTGCTCCATCACCCAGGCTGTAGTGCAGTGGTATGATCACAGAACACTGCATCCTCAACCTCCTAGGCTTAGCCACCCGAGTAGCTGGGACTAGAAGCACACACCACCACATCTGGGGACAAAAAACATTATTTTTATAGATGTGGGATCTCACTATGTTGCCCAGGCTAACTTTGAACTACCGGGCTCAAGCAGTCCTCTTGTTTCAGGCTCCTGAGGTGTTGGGATTATAGGCATGAGCTACCAAGCCCGGCCCCTTACCAACTTTAAGTTCTTCAGTTATCTGTTGGTTTTTCCCTCTGCAGATAAGAAATCTTAATTCCCATAATTAATTTTATAACCCAATCAACACAACTTCTTTTGAAATCACTGCATCCATCTCTCCTAAGTTTTCAGAGTCTCCATTTTATAACAAGTGGCTAAGCCCTGAGTACATAGAGACTGATGAAAAGATTGCATGGTTTATCTCTGCCTCTCTGCTTAGATTCCTGTTTAATAATCATTAAATCTCTCACGTGTCACTTCTATTTGCAGTTTATGGAGCACCACCATGTCCCTTATCTCAGGCCATCAGCCCTTCTTGGTGATCTTATTATTTCCACTGATTCAGGTTAAGCTTGGCTTTATTTAGATCATCTTTATTATACCTGTGGGTAGGTTTTGTAAGCAGGCCCTAGCACAGGTTCAGTTGTGGGTTTCCTTTTAAAAGGTCAGTGTGAAACAGGAAATGTGACTAAGAAAATCTTCTTCCTCCATGAAGCCTCACTTCGTTAACTGGAAGAAAAGCTCCTATCCCGTCTCCCCCCAAACTTACTCATGGCCCAGACACATTTCAAAACAGCACATATTTCCCAAAACACTGACATGTGCATTCTAAGGCTCGTGTGTGCGGTGAGTAGCTCTTTGTCAGGTTCGCTCTGTGAAGGGGCCCTGTCGTCACACCAGTCACTGTTCTTCAGAGAGCTGAGGATGTGCAGGGGCCTGAGGGACCTGGAAACCTGGTGGCTGGGCAATGAGGAGGGTGGAACTCATGGTTGGAACAGTTGGCCATTCTCACGCAGATGGGGGCAGAGCCAGGACGGGAATCCAGGTCTCCCGACTCCCTGGCCACATTAACCCAAGTAAACCCATATCTACCTCTTTAGCTTCTGGAGGCCCCTGCATCTTTCTCCTTGTGGGACACAAGCCAGGTACAGTTGCAGGGCGGACATGTGGTTTCCAAACAGGATGCTGGGGAAATTAATCTGGGATTCCTGACTGGGGTTCTTCAGGAGGCAGTGGTGGCTCCCCTGTAGATCATGTGGTTTGCGACCTTGTTTCAGTTTTCTTATCTATAAAGTAGAAAAATAATAGTACTTATGATGAGGTAAAGATAAATGAATACACATAAAACACTTAGAGCAGTCTTGGTGTGTGATCATCCCATAAGCATTAGTGATTATTATTCTGGTGGGTTGGTTAGCTTTCCTCCGTTCTATTCAGTTCAATGAGGGTTTGGCACCAACCATGGGCTTTGCCAGGACTGTGAAAATGGCCACATTGAGGCTCCACCTTAACCCTGGCCAGTCTCCCAACAGCCAGCCATTTGTCTTAAGAAGAGCTGAAGGAAATAATCGAATGGTGCAATGCAAAGTCAACACTGATGGGACTGAGGGGCATCTTTTCGGATAAGACATGCAGTGGGGAGCCCACCTCTGAGTTGGCCTGTTTCCGGTCTCGTGCGCTGCTCACTCCTCACAGACTCTGAGTGAGTGGTGCTGTGGGCCCAGAGTCAATTCTGGCTTGGCAATGGATACTGTTACTGAGGGCGTGGGTTGAGACGCAGGAGCTTGGGGCTCCAGATGCTTGGAGTAAATGAAAAAAGGGAGTGTGGGATGATGTGAGTGGGAGCTGTGGATGGGTTCAAGGGTGCTGAGTCCTGGCTTGACTCACCCTTTCAGCTTCTGCTCTAACTCTCAGTGCCTTTGTCTGCATGCTGGGAAATCCCTGGGTGCCGGGTTAAACCCTAACCCTAAAAGGCACGTAGACACTTCTCCTGAGCTTCGAGTTGCTTCATTCTGCCCAGCAGCTTCCTGAAAATGTAGTCTTGCCACACCAGAGGAAGGATAGACCCGTAGCTGTGGGGGACCCTGTGTCAGCAGGAGTGAGCTGGGGCTGCAACAGCACATGTGAGCAACTTAACAGGGCTGATGGTTTTTCAACAAATTTTTAAAAATTAGAAAAATATTTAAAATTTTTGTGGGGACATAGTAGGTGAGTATAGTTATGAGGCACGGGAGGTATTTTGATACATGCATACATTGTGTAGTAATTGCACCAGGGTAAATGGGGCGTCTGTCACTTAAAGCTTTTATCCTTTGTGTTACAAACAATCCAGTTATACTCTTTTTGTTATTTTTAAATGTATTTTTAAATTCAGTTATTATTGACTATAGTCATCTTGTTGTGCTATCAAATACCGGATCTTATTCATTCTTTTTGCTCTTGTTGCCCAGGCTGGAGTGCAGTGGCTCAATCTTGGCTCACTGCAACCTCCGCCTCCCAGGTTCAGGAGATTCTCCTGCCTCAGCCTCCCGAGTAGCTGGAATTACAGGTGCACACCACCCTGTCTGGCTAATTTTTTTTGTATTTTTAGTAGAGATGGGGTTTCACCATGTTGGCCAGGCTGGTCTCGAACTCCTGACCGCAGGTGATCCACCTACCTCGGCCTCCCAAAATGCTGGGATTACAGGCGTGAGCCACTGTGCCTGGCCAAGATCTTATTCATTCTTTCTAACAATTTTTTTTGTAGCTATTAACAAGGCTGAAGTTTTAATACAGCTTACTTTTATTGCACACGCCGTGCATTATGCACCAGTCTGTGTTCTTCCAATGCTACCAGGAACCTCTTGCCTTTGTATCAGTTCATAGTTGTCCTCTTCTCCAACTGCCTGTGTATCTGGGTCAGGGGTCCTCTTTTATCGAGTGGAGCAGATGTGCCCAGGTACAGAGAAATGCTTTGTGCTATTGTCTGCCAGGCAGGAGCATTTTCTTCTCTCAAATATTCTTGGTAAATAGGTGAGCAGTCTTTACCTGAATGCACTGGGTGTCATATGCCCCAGCCCTAACTTGAATGTATGGGCTTGCTGCAAGTGGGTGATTCCTTAGACCTTTGCTCTGTCCCTAGACGGGATCACAATAGTCCTTACATTCTTAATGGGTCCCTATCTGGAATCCATTTGATCTTAAAATAAAATGGCAGTGGAACAAATTTTTCATTAATTTCTAGCTAATTTGCAATGAAATTAGATTTCTGAGTATAAGGAATATTTTTTAGGGAATAAACTTATAAGCGGGGTTGCTAGGTGTTTCCCATTGATTAGCCTAGTGTTTAAAAGTATAATGTCTTGATTTTCTGGTTACTTACTTTTTTGAGTTCCCTCACTTTTCTTCCAGAGTTCATTATGCAGGTCTGGAAAACAACAACAACAACAACAGCAGCAGCAGCCACCACCACTAGCAGCAGCAGCAGCAGCAAGAGAAAAGCAGGGGTTAGTTTGGGGGGTTGAAATGGGAAAAAGTAGACATTTCCAGCTCCCAACATCTTATTTCCCAAGTATCTTCGGAGCCCTAGAAAATGGCTCGGAGCTGCCTTTGCAGTTTTGAAGCTGCACTTGGGTTCCCATCAGCCCCTGGGCCTCTGATTGCAGCCTGGGGAGCACCTCTGCACTCCCAGCCTCCTGGGCATGGGTTAGGGTGAAGATGTTGTGCAGTGAGGGGTGGGAGCCTCACACCCTAATAGAGCCAAGCCGGCCACACTGCCTGTCTTTCCCAATTAGTCCCCCAAAGGGAACAAAGCCTTATTTCTTCCCTCCCTTAGTTCCCAGGCACTGGTTGGGGAAAAACAATCCTTGGCAGCTCAGGGGTTAAAAATAAAACACAGCAAGGGGGAAAACAAGCCGGGCAGCTGCAGCGGCTCCTCAGAGCCCACTCCAGGCTAAACAGAGGCCCCAGCAACTCCTTGGAGACTTGAACCCTGGGCGATGGAATTTTCCCTTGCATGAAGGCTATTGTCCTCTGGAAAGGGCCAGGGCCAGAGGAGGGCCTGGGGAGCACTGATCTCCCGAGCCCACAGCCAGGGAGCTCCTGAGAGCCCAAGGGCTCGGTCCCACCCAGCTGGGTTTGGGTGAAAAGGCAACGGGGGTGCAGCCCACCCCTCCCCCTTTGGGAAAAAGGGAGGGCTTGGACTTCCAAAGGCCTGGGTACCAGTTGTTGCCCCACTCCTCAGTCCAACCAGCTAGTCACGGATGGAATAAAAGGCTTGGTTCCCTTGGCAACTGAGGGGACTACAGTTTTTCACAGAGTACAAGATGGGTTGGGGAGGAAGGGAGGTGAAAGTGAGGGATGGGGGAGGTTTGCAGGAGGAGGGAGGAAGGGGGGAGGGGCAGCCTGTTTACCAGTGATGTTTGAGTTTGAGTCTCAAGGGAACCTTTTGTAGGTTCTGGCCTGGGAAATGCACAGGATCCCCTGAGTGTGGGAGGTGCTCTTAACTGCTTCTCAGTTTTGAGTCACCATTGGAAGTCTCTGGTCCATGGTGGAAATGTGATTGTTGTAGGCTTCATGCTAACCTCATGGACAGCTCAGGAGAGTTAAGCAGAGTCTACCTTTATAGGTGACTAGGCCTGGCCCTGTTTTATAACTGGAGACCCCTGGAAGTGTTGATAGATGCTTGAGCCCATAGAGAGCTATTTGTGAAGCAGAGATTAGAATAGCAGGCGCCTGTCTCCTGGGTCTGATCTCAATGGACTAGACAAGGCTATTTTTAATATCAAGCAAAAGAGTTGCTGAAATGTAGACAAAGTGCAGAACCTGGGCTGATTTTGTCTCAAGCACAAGACTTTGTGAGAGGAGCTTAAAAATCTATCCATGTACTGAACAGATACATTTAGCTTCAGTGAAAGCAAGTGATGAGGGACGGGAGACTTTGTCCCAAAACTTTGGGATGAGAGGTCCCCACATGTTGTCACTAGCATGGAGGTGTACGAGAGACTTGGTATAATCCTCTCTGAGGCTTTAGATGGTCAGGGCTGCCCACCTGGCGTTGATAGAAGCACCTTTTATTGCTGCCATTAAAAGTGTGGCATTTGCCAAATGAAAAGAAAGGAAGCAGAGTGAATCTGTTGATATGGTGGTTTAAGAAGAGAGAATAGTGTAAACCAACACACTGTTCGAGAGTCTGAAAACGATTTTTTTAAAAAATGGAAAACAGAACCCCAGACCCCTATCTGGTATAGCAGGGAGTTCTTGGAGATGATGAGAATGGGGTTCATGGCTGCTTTGGTGGAAGGGCTTGCTTGGTTCTTCTGCTTTTGCCAGGGTACCTGGGAGTGGGACGGGGGTGTTGGGGGAGAGGTCACTGTGTTTTCCTGAGGGGGTGACGAGGGTCATCACCGTGAAGTACTTCCTCATGCACACCAGGGTCAGTTCCTTCAAAGCCTGGCTCCGATGGTGGGTCTCATCTGAAAGACACAATTTGAGGAAACCTAGAGGGCAACTCCTAAGATGAGGAAACACCTGGATGGCAGGTCTCTGATAAGGAAACAATCCTGAGACACAACTGCAGCTGCTTTGCAGGCATGACTTATGGCCAATCAGATGACCATCTGCTTTAATCATCATAACCAAATAGAAATAATAAAAAGATCAAGGAATCACTTATCACCTAATTAATTTACTTACTGACTGGTGGGTTGGCAGAGAAACAAGTCTGGGCAATGTAGAATAACAAGCTACTTAGAAAATACGCAGAGAGGCCAGGCGCAGTGGCTCACGCCTGTAATCCTAGCACTTTGGGAGGCTGAGGAGGGCAGATCACGAGGTCAGGAGTTCGAGATCAGCCTGACCAACATGGTGGAACCCTGTCTCTACTAAAAATACAAAAAAAAAAAAAAAAAAAAAAAAATTAGCCGGGCGTGGTGGTGCGCACCTATAATCCCAGCTACTCAGGAGGCTGAGGCAGGAGAATCACTTGAACCTGGGAGGTGGAGGTTGCAGTGAGCCGAGATCACGCCACTGCACTGCAGCATGGGTGACAGAGTGAAATTCCATCTCAAAAAAAAAAAAAAAAAAAAAAGAAAAGAAAAAAAAGAAAACAGAAAATACGCAGACAATGGCAACCCAGGGAAGAGAAACTCACGTGAGCTCACCTCTGCGCTCTCGAGTGCATATACATTCATGTAAGTTTCAAGACAATTCAGTGAGGTTGGTGTGATTATTATTCTCATTCTGTAGATGAAAAAAGCTGAGGCTTGGGTGGGTTAACTAACTTGAGCAAGATCACAGGGTTGGAGGTGGTGAGCACTGGGTTTTGAATGCTATCAGATTATCCTCAATCTATACAGCAGCCTATAGTCAGAAAAGCATTTTCAGATCTGAAATTTCACTTGACTCTCAAAACCACTTATGGCAGGAGGTGATTCCCATTGACAGCCACAGAAGCTGAAGGTCATGGAGTTTAAGTGACATGTTCCAATCACAAGACTCTATGTGGCAAAGCTATGACTGCTCTGGGACTTTTCACACGATGGCCTGTTTCCTGATCTCAAATTCCATTCTCAAATATCCAGGAACATTTTTTTGATTTGTTTGTTTGTTAGTTGGTTGAGATAGGGTCTCACTCTGTTGCCCAGGCTGCAGTCCATTGGCACAATCACAGCTCCCTGTAGCCTCTCAACCTCCTAGGCTTCAGCAATTTCCAGCCTCAGCCTCCACAGGCTAGCTGGGACCACAGATACGCCTTTTAAAATTTTGGGTATAGACAGGGTCTTGCTACATTACCCAGGCTGGTCTTGACCTCATCCAGGAAGACTTTGATGTCTGCCATTCACTCATACATATATTTATTCAGCCATTCAACTAATATTTGCCAAGCACCTGTCATGAACAGGGCATCAAGGGAAATGGAAAACACGCTAGATTTTTAAGAAGGCCCTGTGAATAAAAAGAGTCTTATAATCTTTTTTTTTTTTTTTTTTTTTTTTTTTTTTTTTTGAGACGGAGTCTCGCTCTGTCGCCCAGGCTGGAGTGCAGTGGCCGGATGAGTCTTATAATCTTACCGTCTGTGTCTGCCCTCACAGTTATCAGTGGAAATTTTCCAAAATCAATGTGCTAACCAATGTGTTTTCTTTCATAAACCGACACACTTACAATTGAGGAACTAAAATGTTAAGAACTATTGAATCACGAACATTCTCTGAACACCTTACACCTTAAAATGGAGGTAGTAATTCAGTAAGGTTTGGATGGACTCACGATGACAGCTCAGTGGGACACCTCCAGTTCCTGGAGACAGAGGAAAAAGAGTTTTGGCCAAGGCTGCCTTTGGCTGTCCACATTTGCTCAGACGCTCAACCTAACTAGCATTCCTGTCTCCCCCCACCGTCCCTGCAGACTCTATTGTGAAGGGGCCCCTCCCATGGTCAAGCTTCCTCCCATATCTGATTTTATGGCCCAGCTACTTCCTGGACAGGGCCAAACACTTAACAGATGCCTAGACTTGTATGGGTCCACGTCAGTGCGTATGCTGGTCATATTTCCTACACACCCATCCATGCAGAATCACACATTAAACATGATTTCTCACACAGAAGTTCCAGGGGGAAAACCTCATCCCCAAAGAGACAGAAGTTGCCAGAATATGTACAGGGAGGCGAAAAGCACTTAAAAACAGGGGAGCATGGTCATTTGCCCTGGAAGAGCATGCAGTGTTGGGAGAGCTGATGAACAAAATTTCCATCCCTCTCCATTCATCATTCATCAGTAAGTCATGCAGGTCAAGGTGTAGAGGGAAGGGGAAGAGGGCAGAGAGAGGAGAAAAGGGAAAAGAAGTTGTTGTTGTTGTTGTTGTTTCTTTTAGAGATGGGGTCTCACTATATTACCCAACCTGGCCTCAAATTCCTGAGCTCAAGTGATACTCCCACTTCAGTCTCCAAAATAACTGGGACTACACGTGTGAGCTACCACACCCAGAGAGCTATGGAGTTTCCATTATAAGGAAAATGAAGATGACAAAGGAATGCTGGGGACAGGCTTTTGAAGGGAAGAGATCAACTCAGGCTGAAGTGCAATGGCACAATCACACTTTAAATGAGTACATTTTAAAATTTGTGAATTATATCTCAATAAAGAGATTTTAAAAATAGATACCACAAACCTCACACATTTAAAACATACAGGATATGGCATACAAAAAATAGATGGGACATACTTAAACTAAAAAAAAAATTACTTATTATTCATCTGAAATTAAAAGTTAACCAGATGTCCTATATTTTATCTGGCACTCCTACTTCCCCAGCCCTCAACACCCAAAGCTCTTTGAATTTGTTTTCATTTTCTGTCCATATGAAGTACCTCTTGGGGCAAAGAGCTTCAAGGTTTATTATCCTCTTTGTGAAGCAGTGCCATGCTTTGTCTTCACTTCTCCTAAGTGTCCCCTTCCCACATATTTCAGAAAACGGCGTATTTCTACTGGGCTCATTTTGTCCTTAATGCTATGGAGGTCCATGCTCAGCATCGGGCTTCCCAAACAGAAATATGCTGGACACATCAGACAATTTTTTCTTGGCCAACTCATCCCTCCATCCCTTCTTTATGGTTGCCTTTTTTCAGGTCTCTTGTTAGGAACTCATGAGTGAGTAACATCCAACAGACCACCAATCCAGATGTGATGGCCCAAGGGGATTCAATATCGGTGGGGGGAAAACTCCCTGAGGGTTTTCCAGGTCCTGTCCTAAGAACCAAGTGCTTAAGAAGCACATTCACAATGGAGGAAAGCCACACCATAGCATAAATTCATTTGCTATATGGAGTCTAAATTTTGCCTTTTTCCATTTCATGTGATGTGGGGTGTGTGTGTGTGTGTGTGTGTGTGTGTGTGTGTGTGTGTGTACGTGTTGTGGTTTTTGTTTTTTGCCTGTTTGTTTTTGTTAGCCTGATAACAATCCAGTAGAACAACTGAGAGGATGGTGGAGCGAAGGCAGGTAACATGGTTTGGCTCTGTGTCCCCACCCAAATCTCGTCCTGATATAATTCCCACATGTTGTGGGAAGGGACCCAGGGGGAGATAATCTGAATCATGGTGGTGGTTTCCCCCACACTGTCCTCAAGGTAGTGAATAAGTCTCACGAGATCTGATGGTTTTATCAAAAGTTTCCACCTTTGCATCTTCCTCATTTTTCTCTTGCCACCGTCATATAAGAAGTGCCTTTCGCCTCCCACCATGGTTCTGAGGCCTCTCCAGCTGTATGGAAGTGTAAGTCCAATTAAGCTGCTTTTTATTCCGAGTTTTGCGTGTGTCTTTATCAGCTGCGTGAAAATGGACTAATACAGCAGGTGAGAAGGATCGCAGTGTGGTCTTCTGGATGCTTTTAGTGCAAGAGAATGAATACACTTTGAAGATGGTGGTTGTGTTAGGAGGGCGGAATTATGACTTTTATTCTCTCTTTTCTGTTTTCCAAACTTCATATCATATAGTTCTCTAAAGATAAATAATTTGAAAGAGTGCTTACATTTTCATTTAAAAAAATATAAGGCCTCACAGTTAAAACTGACTACTAAAAGAAAATATTGCATTGTAAAATAATCAAAGTCTGTAAATGCTTTATAAATTTTATATACTATTTTCTGAGTAACTTTCCCATGGTTCCCTGGTTCCATGCTACATGGTAGCATTGCTGGAACCGGAAGTCAGGTATGCCAGTCTCAAAACCCAGGCCCTTCCCATTATATCACAGCAGACATGTACCAGCTGGATCTCGTGAAAGTGTGATCTGTTCAAGAGTCACATGGATTTCAGCAGCTTATTACCAAATTATTTATGCTTGGATATCTAGCATTGCCTATCTACACAATAATTATTTTCATAATATTTGATTCTTGTGCACAAAATCCCTGCAGTCTATGAATGAATCGGCAAGGAACAGTCAATTACATAATAATAGCTACTGTTTCCTGGATGCCATGGGCCAGGTACCAGAATTAAATTTGAACTTCATTTACCTAATTTAATCCTTGCAATAATTCTGAGGAAGATTTCAGCCCCATTTTATAGATGAGGAAATGGAGATTCAGCGATATTAAGATCACACAGTTAGTAAGTTTACAGGCTGAGATTCAGAAAATCCTAATTAGATACAACTCGTTTTATCATATGCTAATATTTAAAACATTCAACCATACCAGTTGAGAGTAGTAACCTTCCTTCTTTAAGCGGGGGGTAAACAGTTCTCACTTTTTGTGTGTGTTTGTTTTGAGACAAGGTCATGGTCACAAGCTCTGTGCCCAGGCTGGAGTGCAGTGGTGCCATCACAGCCCACTGCAATCTCCGCCCCCTGGGCTCAAGTGTTCTTCTCACCTCAGTCTCCTGAGTAGCTGGGACCACAGGTACACGCCATCTGCGCCTGGCTATTTTCTGTATTTTGTTTTGTTTTGTTGTGTTTTTAGAGACAGAGTTTCTCCATGTTGTCCAG